TGGGAAGAGTTTCAACCTTAAAACCTCTTCCAGCATATCCGTGTATTTCACGGTGGAACACACCTCAAGAAACTCATCTAAATGCTTGTATGGTTCCTTATTGCTTAAGCCATAGAAGTTCGGAAGCATTTGGATGGTTTGTGGCTTGATCTCATAATGGTGTGCTCTAAATAGAGGAAGCCGAATGCATGTGGGCGCATTATATTCATTAGGCACATAGTGATCTTTCAAAACCATGGGAGGATTTTGGGTTTATTGCTCTACTTGAGCTCCATGATTAACTTGAACAACGGGAGGTGGTGCAAAGAGTGACCTTGGCATTCCAAGTGGAACTTGGCCAATTGGTTGAGGAGGAATAAGTGGTCTAGGCATCCCTAAAAGAATGTGCATATTATATGTTATTGCACATTAGGGTGGTAGATTCCTTGTTGGTCTACATGATCGAGATCCTCAATATGATCATCCATTGATGTAATGGGGTGATCAACAGTAGAAAGATTATCACTAGAAGTTCCTTTACCCCTTAGATTACGAAAAATGGATTCAATATTAGGATTCAACGGAACAAGAGATGGATGAAGTGATCTCCTACCAAGCATTCACAAATAACGAACAACAAAAACAATAACTCCTCCTCTATAACAATAAACAATCAATCAACAAACCTCCACATACATTGTTCCCATAATCCCATGCTTTCAACAATACAAGAAATAAATGGCCTCTACACGGGCTGATGATTTAACAATATTAATAAGGCCTCCACACGGGCCGATGTTCAATTAAGTAGAAGAGTTAAGATATACTCACAAAGGTCCTTAGGCAACTTCAAGAATTTTTATGCCTTTTTTTTTTCCTTTTTTGATATATATGCTTGCTTGCCTTTTATGTTTGCTTCAAGGCCCAATGTTTGCTTCCTTTTAGCTCTAAGTACCTAATTGACAAGAGTAACAAGTAATAAAATAAAAATAAAAAGTAAAAACAAGGATCAAAAGAGTAATAATTCCTATTCAATTCCAAATACGACGTTAGCAATTCCCGGCAACGGCGCCAAAACTTGACAGTGCCATGGCATCAATGTTCAAACTGCGAGAAAGTGGTCGATTCAAGAAGCCTTTAGTTAAATTTAAATTTATAAACCACTACAACTACTACTACTAATGTAGCATAGAGAGTAGAGACCATCCCAAGAAATCGCAAGTGTATTTTGGAATCAAATTCAGATTAGTAGGTCGAATGATCAAAAAGATGTTTAGTTGGTTTAATTAAACTACAAATGAATTGAAAACATGCAATTTAAATAAGCTAAAATATGATTAAGGTGAGAGAATAAGAGAGAGGCCTTAGGGCATTGAAATTACTGCTAAGCTCTTCTTCTAAACCACTAGTTCTTAACAAATTTGGGGAAATCAAATGTTGTAAACTAAGTGTGTGCTAACAATTAAAACAATGAGCATGGATAACTAAACAAGTGTGAATTGTCTACTTAGACTACTGTGTAGCACAACCCATCAAGTGAAGACATTAACCATTCAATAAATCTACAATTGTAGCATACAACAATCTAAAGAAATGCATATCATGTGACAACAAATATGAATCATCAAATACAAGCATGAATTGTCAACCTATCTATGAAATTAAATGTAATTACACTACAATTACTCTAATGACAAGAAAATTAAACTAATTAACTAAGGGTGTGAAACAACCCATCAAGCATAAGTGTAATCCATCAAATCAATCACAAGTGTAACCAATAAGCACTATGCATGACCATCACTAGATTTACAATTCCAACACACATAGACATGCATCAAATTTGTATAATCTAATATAGAGACATAACCATCCATTTCATCACATATAGACATGTAAATAAAATTGAAAGGTTAATTGGAATAATTAAATCATGAAAATCACAAGATTTATTAAATCACAAGGTCAATACATTATTTGCAACAAAAATTCCCAAATGAGTTAAGAGTCTAGGGTTTAGAAGGCAAGCCTATGGGCTTTTCCAAGCCCAAAAATGAGGATCTAGCCACTCATGGGTGTTGTCTTGCAACCCTCAAAGGCTATCTTCATGGTTGAGTTCATCTTCTTGCTCCTTTCTTGCCTCTTCTCTTGCTCCCAAAAACTCTAATCTAGAGAGAAAAAACTATGTATAATCGATGTAAAAGCTAGCTAAAAGTTGAGAACCCTACAAAAAATTATTTAATTTGATTTAAATACAAGCCTCTTTGTGTAGGCAACAAGTCAGAAAATAACCTTTTCATTAGTCTAATCCCGTAGCCAAAAGTTAGGCGAAGTTTGAGCACACTCGGGAATTAAACAGCTCACTGCCAGCAGGATTTCAATCGATCGAAAGGGACCTCAAAGGATCGAGATTATCTTCGAATGATCGAGAATGATGTGGCATGCTTATCTTGACAACTGCAACCTTATCCGCTTAGCTGGCATTGACGTGGCACTGTGATCGATCGAAAAGGGTTTCGATCGATCGAGAATCTTCTCGAACAATGAGGTGGCAGTCTTATCCCTTTGCTGACGTGGCTTCAAAGGATCGTGAAGCTTCGAACGATCGAGGGTGAATCTTTGATCAATCGAGACTACTCCAAGGCCAATTTTCAGACTTCTTTCGGAATTTCTTCTTAACTCCAAAGAAGACTTAATAAGCTGTTTTTAGCTCATTTGAACCTTATTGACCTGAAATAGACAAAAACATGAATTAGAACTAAAACGGGAAAGTGAGATAGATGAATGGACTAGAATACCCTAACTTCGGTGCTAAAATGTGCAACATTTGAGCACTTATTAGCTCTCTGGTTCCCGAAACAAATCCAAGCAAGGGTTGGGATTTGATATGGTTGCACCCACGTGGTCCCAGCTTGCTGAGATCCGGTGTGAGTGTATGTAGGTGAGCCCACTTTAATTTGGGTCTGACCCAAATTGAAACGGGTCAACCCATCAAGAAAAAAATATACACAAAACTTCCTTGGTCAATTTCGGAATAGTAAAAAGGCAAAATGGGCATTACAACATTATTTTAGGTCAAATTTCTATTTGAGGAGTATTTTCGTACAATGTTAAAAGATTAAAGGGTTTATTTGCACCCATTTTCAAATAAAGGTAAAAGTGCTATCGGAAGTATACATTAGAGGTGTTATCTGCACTTCACCCATATATTAATATATGTATGTATATATTGCACGTAAGTAAAATGTAATTTAAAATTAATATTCAACAAAGTAATTAAATAATTATTTTCTCAATAGTAATTAAAATTGATTTTTTTTAATAATTACACTGATATATTAATTAAGATAAACAGATGACAAGATTAAATAATGATAATAAGTTACAAAATTTTTAAAATAATAAATTATATATTTTCTTGTCTAATTAGAGAGAATAAATTATTCATTTCTTTATATATATCCTTGTCTAATTAGATTTTCTTTTATTAAAAAACTCATTGTATATATTTCTTATATATATTTTCTTGTCTAATTAGAGATACTAAATTATTTATTTTCTTTATATATTTTCTTGTCTAATTATATTTTATTTTATTAAAAAAACTCACAATAAATAGGTAATTTAAGTTTTATAGAAACTCTTCTAAGCACCTTATATTAATTGAAAAAACAAAAACTCATAATAAATAGGTGATTTGGGTTAGAGTTTTATTAGAACTCTTTTAAAAACTCATTTTTATAGTAATTAATAAATATTTTTTATATTTATAAATAAATACTGAAACTCTTTACAGTTTTATTAATAGTTTTATAGAAACTCTTTTAAACACCTTAAAAACTCATAATAAATAGGTAATTTGTATTAGACTTTTATAGGAACTATTTTAAAAACTCTTTTTTATATTAATTAATAAATATTTTTTATATTTATAAATAAATACTGAAATACTAAAGTACTGAAACTCTTTACACTTTTAGAGCTTCAGCATTTCAGTATTTATTTATTAATAAAAAAATATTTATTTATTGATATAAAAAGAGTTTTTAAAAAATTTCTATAAAACTGTAACACAAATTACCTATTTATCTATTTATTATGAATTTTTATTTATTTTTTAATTACTAATTTTATAAAAACTCTTCTAAACATTTTAAGAACTCATAATAAATATGTAATTTGTATTAGAGTTTTATGGAAACTATTTTTAAAACTCTTTTTTATATTAATTAATAAATATTTTTTATATTTATAAATAAAAAATGAAATATTGAAACTCTTTACACTTTTATTAATAGTATAGATATAGATAGATATTTAATTGTTGCTTAGAAGGGTATTTTAGAATTTTTATAAATAAAAATAAATAAATAAATTACTAAAAAGTGATTATTAGATGAGATAGATAATACAGGGAGTTATATGTATTTTTTAATTTTTTATTTTTCTAATAGGGTTTCTTGCGCATTTGGTATATAATGAGGGGATTTTTTTTGTACTTAACCCTTTAAAAAAGGTAATTTATACAGACCTTTCCTATAATTTGCCTTAATTTCACGGACCTCCCCATTGGTTTAGGAATTTACATGGACATCTCTTAAAAATGAAACTATTCTAGACGGACATCTCTTCCACGACAAATTATTCACTTAATTAAGTAAAATACCCATTATATCCTTATCCATACCAATGATTGTTTCTCTCTCCTCTTTGTTTTCTTTCTCCTCTCCATGCCTCCTACCAATTCAGGTCATGTCTCAGGATGATGATGGGATTTGGATAATTCCTTCTCATCTGGGAGATGATGTTTACGCCTAATGATGTTTCCTTCTCTTTGTCAACTCTCAAATCCCTCTCCTTTTCTGTCGCGAAGCTTCAACCGGTCTTGGTTGCAATGGTTTAGAGGAGAGAAATTGAGCACATACGCATTTCCCTAATAATAATAATAATAATAATATTTTGGGTATTTCAGTCATTTATTATAAAAAATTGAGGGTATTTAAATAAATTAAACAGGTCGGTTAGTCTATTTGACGGTCCGCCGCTACACGAGAAAATTGGAGGCGGCTCAAACCGCTCTTAAAAATAACCCATCGATCGTCTTCATCAAGTTTCAGGGGAAAAAAAAACAATAAATCTTCATCAAGTTTGAGTTGATCGGAGTTCTGAGAATCCCGGACACGGACTTTTCAGCCAAACACCGACGTATAACATACGTAAATTTCTGATTTCGATTTATATCGTTTTATGATACTACTGTACAGCAGAAAGGTCAGGTGACGAAGGAAAGGGAAAAGTGTTTGAATAGAAAGGGAATCGCTGGTAATGAACTAAGAAAGGAAAAGGAAATGAGAGAAGTTGACGGTTTCCGTGGAATTGGGGTTGGGAATGAACCCGGGGCTTCCACTTCATCTACTACACCCATCGATTCCTCTAATATTGGTTTCCAGGTTTCCTCTTTTCTTTCCCTTCTCTCTGGATATGTATTTGTGGGGGTTTTGCCTAGGTTAGGGTTTTGTTTACTTCTTCTTTAATTGTCTGGAATTACGCACACATATATTTATGTATATACTGCCTAGATTAGGGTTTTGTTTACTTCTTTAATTATCTGGAATCACACACACATATATATACACTACCTAAATTAGGGTTTTGTTTACTTGTTCTTTAATTATCAGAAATTACATACATGCATAAACACACATATATAAACTGCCTAGATTAGGGTTTTGTTTACTTCTGTAATTATCAGAAACTACATACATGCATAAACACACACATACATATATGTGTGTGTAGCATGTATATGTGTTTTCCATCTATTTGTTGTTTTGTCGTGGAACGATTTTGACTGTTGGCATATGATTGGAATATTGCAGCTTCTGAAGAAACATGGTTGGAAAGAAGGAACCGGCCTAGGTATCTCTGAGCAGGTGCCCTTGCCCCTTTCTCTCTCTAAATCCTTTTTTATTTTTATTTTTTCATTTTTATTTTTACATGTTCATTCTAATCAGTTCTTACAGCTGTTTATGATATTTAATAGTTGGTACTACATAAATGTTCTGTTAATGAGTTTGAAACTAATAATGGGTTCATCCTGTGTTTGTTTTATTCTCTAATTGCATAATTAATTGTCTGCCTTTTACGTTCTTGCACTTTGTTATAATTTGGCTGATAATATTCCTTGTTGAGTACTAACCTTATCTTTTATGTCATTGAGATAATTTGTGTGTGTGTGTGTGTTTTTTCCAGCCTTGTCCTCAATGTCACTCTTGCAATTCATTGAATAGAATTTCACAGAGTTATTATATCCTTCTACAGTATGTATTAACTCTGCCAGCTTACAGGAACTGCTTTGATATGTGTCATGATTTCTTTTTGGTAAATTTAAAAACTTGTTAGTTCAGTTTCCCATATACATTGTTGATGTCATTTGTTGCATATGTAGCTAGTAGTACAAGCGAAAAGTAACTCTCAGCTTTTGAGAAGTATTCTTTCCATCTAGAAGAAAATTGATCATGGAACCCTGATGCTGCAAATGCATTTGATTCAAATTTATGTCACATATGCTCCATGTTGCTTCATCATATTCTAGAGAGAGAAAAGTCCTAGAAAGAGAGCGAGCTTGTGAGATTATTCAATCTAGGTTTTCCCAATGACCATCTGTGTGATTGAACACTCTACAAGGAGCATATTTTCAATCTAATCCTATTCAACCGGATAACAGAGCAGACATGGGCGAGCAATCATTAGAGAAGCTGATTTGTGAGTAGCGGATGTTGTAGATGATCGAACAAATGATCTCGAGACTTTCGGGGGAAAGTTTGGCATCATTTGTGTCTAGAGGTAACTATGGCTTCGAGGGTGAGTTAACTGTGAACCTAGTTGTAATCACTTCCTTGATGGTGGATTGTGTATGACTGGACTAGGTTCCATGCTTTTCTAGGGTTTTTCACGGAAAATCATGCGTCTTCATTCTTCTCTACTCTACTTCCTGTTTTATGCTTATTTGTGGTTTGATTGATTGATATTAAAAACTAATTGGAATTGGAGAATCAATCCTCACAAATAAACTAACTGGAATTTAAATTAAAATAACTGAAATTGAAAAGATAGTTGAAAGTTGGAAACCATCTATATTCTATAAGACCTATTCGCCCTCTCCCTCCCCTAGGTCAAATTCATTGGTTTCACTTTGACCTATGAGAGCCTCAGGGTACCATCTAGTGTATTTTCATATTATTAGACTCTTAGGCCATAGGAAATTCAAATAGATTGAGAATGACACTGAGAATAGAAAATTGTGAAACAGCCTATTAAATATGATCTGAATTTGTTGTCATTGTGCTATTAGTCATATTACATATGGTGCAAAGTCCGAGCTTCCCTTAGCCGAATTGTTGGTTGATTATGTTCTCTTATATAACTAATGAGCCATGAAAACAGAAAACTAACTAACTAACAAGCCCAAGTATTTGACTCAAGCTCAGCTCATATTAGTTGATGAATTATGTTAAGCGTGCTTGTGACAAACAGAACTTCAACTGACTTGGAGGTAGCTTGGTATAATTAACTGCCCTACCTGTTGTCCTGGAAAATAGAGTGACGAAGGTGATATTACAACTTCTCTTGAATTTTTCCTCATAAACCTCTTTAATATTGACAATGGATTGGGTCTGTCATAATCTAACACTGTAGAACTAAGTTTTGCAGGTGATTTTTAACAGTACATTTTTCAAAGAGAGAATTTTTTAATGGTTCTTTAGTTAAGCTTGTTTGACCATAATCAACTAATTTTGAATTGAAAAATAAGATGTAGTTACAAAGTGGCCTGAATTTTAAGTTGGAGAGACATAAGTATCCACAAAGGATGGGAACTTGTTGGTCCATGATTAACTCTATAGGTAATCCTACTAACCAGAGAGTTGCAATCTTCATATTCCAAGCTTGAAGTGATTAAAGGCACTGCTAGGTATTCAATAGATAATACCTCTTTCTGGAAATTAAGAATCTACTTAATAGCATCAGCATCTGAGTCATTTTCTTGACATGAAGACACATCTGTTCTTGCTAATAGGATTGAGGCTTGTCTCGCTGCTGAAAACCTGAAGAGAAGCATTGAGTTGCAACTGACTGAGGGTCACTTGCAGCAAATATGAAATATTTCTCTTTCGACATCTCTAGTAATATCTGAAAGGGCATTGGTCTATATTAGAGCAATTGTACCAAAGAGAACATCCATAGATAAGACAAGACTGAAGGTGAGAGGGGATCACCTTGCCTCAAACTCCTCATGCTCCTAAAATACCCATTCAATTCTACATTGATATTGATAGAATAGGAAAGAAAAGTTATACAACACTTGATCCAACTTGCAAAATAATGGTTGATAGTTGACTTATTTTTACAAGATTTATGGCTTTAGGACTTGTATTAAAAAAAAACTATTACATTATTGTAATTAATAATGTTGTGACTCTAGACCATTTGAAGTGAATTTGCGAGTAGCTTGACCTCTATATTTGTGGGACTACTTAATTGATTTATTTTTAATTTTGTGACATTAACATTCATAGCTAGAATCACACTCGATGATTTGGATTTTTGATCTTGAGATTAGCTCAGGTTTTAGAGCTTTACATGTTTGGGGGTGTGACATCTTGAACCTTTCAAAGACACTATTTTGGAACGTGAGCTTCCTAACACCGTGAATGGCAGCCGATTTAAGAAATAAAACATGAAAAAAAATCCTAATCCTTCTCAAGCGTCAACCAGTAAACCTACATATCCTTTTTGTGTGTTTTTGTCATCCCGTGTCCGTGTTGTGTCATGTCGATACGGACACTCTTGCCGGCATCGGCGAGTCCGGATAGCATAGGATAATAATCCCTAAAAGAATCTCATATGTGGTGTTTTCACAAGGTATACAAATAATTGTTTCACGGGCCTTTTCATGGATGATGATGTTATAGGAATATGAAACATGTTGGCTGGTATGCAACTTTTCTTTGACCAATATATAGCTACCATATAAATTGCTTTACCCCAATTAATTACATGAATTGACTTGACATTGAGTGAGAAAACATTATAATTAAGTTGTTTCAAATCTTAGTGCATTACTTTGATGGTGAACTAGCTTTGTTATCGTATCAGAAAGTATCTTTGAAGGTTGTTTTGATTTCCTATCTTACTTTTTTGCCTTCCCTCTTTAGTGAATTGTGTTCTGGTAAAAGGAAAGTCTTCTGTAAGTTGGATTATGATGCTGAAGGCATGCTAAGTCATTGATCTATTGAACTTGGACTCTACTATGGTAATTTTTGTGTTGGGACCTGAATTTGGATATGAGAATAATATTTTCCATCAAGTTATTAGAAACTACTCCATTTTACTGGTTGGAGGATATAAATATTTAATTCTTCCTGCATCTTTATATAGTAGCTATTCTCTATCTTAATTCACTTTGCGTTGTCCTTTTAACCTCAATTTGATTGTAATTCTATGTGAATGTAATTAATTAATTCATGGTGCAAACAGGGGAGACTAGAACCTATACAGGCTTATTTGAAGAAGAATAAGCGAGGGTTGGGTGCAGATAAAGTAAAGAAGAAGATGCCACAACGTTCAGAAAATATTGAGAAGCTCGCTTCCGATGGGAAAAATGACAAAGTAAGTTTCATTAGCACTTGCAAAAATCTGGAATATTTGTTTTACCTGTTTATTTGTTATATCTTTATATACATATATCTATATATGTTATTCGGTAATGGACATAACTAGAGAGCTTACGTGAGTTCTTAGAAAACCATGAAAAAAGGCGAACAAAATGTGAGAGATTTACTGAACTATGAAACAAGTTAAAGTGAACCCCTCGGAAGAGAGGCTGATTTGAGAATTCAGCTGTCACAGTTCAAGTTAAGGAAAGCACCCCACATAGACAGAAGTGCCGGACCAGCATCGGTTAATGACCTTTCTAGTTAAAGCGTTGAAAGCCTTTGGTTGCAAGTGACAGATAGAAAAGGACTAAAATGATAAAATGGTTCAAGAGAACAATTGAGAAGCCAAATTTCCATCTCTTGTAAAAAGATTATGTATTAAAGTACTAGAAAGACGAACAAAATAATTCTTGGGAATTTTTGTTGCAAGGCTGAAAAAAGGATGATTGAGTGCATGAGAGAAGTTATGGGGGGTTTTACATGGCTTGGATGTCAATGGTGCATAGAAAAATCATGTTTTGAACATTGAGAAATCTTGGGGCCAACTAGATTAGCGAAAATCAGAGTCTGATGCTTGGTTTTTTACTAATGGTGCTTGAAGCATTGGAATTGACAATTTTTGCTTTCATGGAAAAATGCTTCAAATAGAATAAGTACATCCTAAACCAAAATAAATTAATCATACAACTAATCATAATAGGAAAAAAAAAAAATTTGAAAAATGTTCTTGGATTACTGAAAATTCTAAACTTCATTTTAATTTTTTTTTATTTTAATTTTTTTTATGACTAAATAAAATAAGAAGAATGCATAAATTAATCATACCACTAATAAAAATAGTAATATATATATATATATATATATATATATATATATATATATATATTAAAAAATGTTCTTTCCTTACTGAAAAATTTAAATTTCATTTTATTTATTTTGTTTGCAACTAAATAAACATAAGAAGAATGCATCATGCACACTCCCCATTGAACGCTCTTTTATACAAATATTATTACCTTATCAAAAAAAAGGAAGGGGAGGGGGGAGTGGGGGAAGAATGCGCCATACAAAATTTTCATCAAAATCAATCGTGCAAAACTGAAGAAATTTCCATTTTTAATCATCTTTACTCAACACATCAGCAAATTATGTCTGGAAGTACTTAATGTGCTTAGCCTCTATATGTAATTGCATATGTTTATTTGCAAGTAGTATAGAAGTATGTAGTATTTATTTGAAAAGGCAATTAAAATATGTTTTTATATTGTTTTGATAGCCTAGCTTCACTGAGAAAAGAGTTGTATAGTTTGACTTTTCAATCACTAGTGAATCCTTGTGATATAGCAATGGAAAATGCTACGATTAGGGCGCTCTCAGGTGAACTTGTGTCCTCATCCATTGGATGGAGTGCAAGATAACTTAACACCCTCAATATGATAGATGAGGGCACAAGCTCGCCATCAGAGCGCCCAGAATGCCCTTCATGTAGCACTGCTCTATATTGCAACTAGATAAAACTTTAGCATATAACTTTTTTCTGATCAAGGAGTTGGCCATCCAATTATTCATTTTAGATGAGTTATGACATGTCTGCATTGTTGATTTTCCTTTATTATGTACATGGCTAGAGACCTAAAAGGAAATCCATTCTGCTTCCCCTTCTCTGTGTTTCTACTGATGTCACATCTTATATCAGGTGCCTTCTAAAAATAAAGCAAAGGCCATTTCTAAAAGGATGAAAAAGATGCAAGAGTTTGAAGAGCGGCTAAAGGAGAAGGAATTTGAACAGGCCTTTTTCAGGGAATTTTGGCCAGATAACGTTTGACGGTTCCATTGTCTCTCCTCCAGCTAGTTTTTTTTAGCTAATGAGAGAGACCATATTTTTGTTTCATTCTTCCTTGATTTTAAAACATCAGGCAGCAGGGTGGAAAGCATCCCTTCAAATGGTGTATATGTATATAACCTATAAATGGAGCAACAGAAGTCTCTTAACGTTTGGCCTGAATTATTATTTCTTAAATGCAGAAATGTATTATTATTTTGCATCTTTGTGGTACTCAAATTTAATATTTAATTAATTATTGATTTAGTTCACATCCTTACCATTTCGAGGGATTTTGCAAGTGCTATATTTCATTGAAGTACTGATTCCAAGGATCGATTCCTATCCTATCAGCATTAGGCTCAGCGGATGAGTTGGAGTGGAGACTGGTCTTGAGGAATAGATATTCAGTGCGCCTGATGGTGCTTGCACACGTACAGTTCCGATTATGCACAGTTCTGATTAACCTAGGTCATGGTGCACCGAATACCTACTCGGTCTTTAGAGGCTTCAAGCCAGCGCACCAAATACCAACTCGGTCTTTAGAGGCTTCGAGAGTTTCCTTTTGGAGCCTTGAACAATTGTATATTGGAAGAATGGGTCTTGCACACGCACTTGCGTATTTTATTTGTATGTGGTTTTAAAGTTTGTTATTAGTTTGTGTTTACGATTTCAAAAGAACAACAAACTTGCGAATATTCATCTCATAAAAAACAACAGGTTTGTTCATGTGGTTAATATGAGGATTGAAGATCACTGTATAAGTTGGATCATTCCCATTGCACTAGTGACGAGCAGCCGTAGGGTTTTCTGTATGAATCGGCATGAACGTTGTTTCAAGGATAAATCACATTAGTTCTATTAGGGTATGTTTGGCATTTGCTTTTGTTCCGTGTTTTTATTTTGACTCAAAATAAAAACAACGTTTCTGCTTAGGTGGGTGTTCAATACTGCTCTTTTTAAGGGTATGTTAATCGTTACCGTGCTTTTGCTACCGTGTAGAAGCAACCGGAAACACCAATTTGGTGCTTCTGTTTTTGACCTCTTTTTTGAAAACATATTGGCACAATTCAAATCGCAACAATGTTATCAAACAAGCTTCCGTATTTTGTTTCGCTACAGGATACTGTCCGAAGCAAAAAAACACGAAACATAAGCGGTTGTCAAACAGTTTATGAATTAGTCCGCAGCAAAGTAATGGCCCAACTTTTTCACCATTCGTTTATGAATTAGTCAGCAGCAAAGTAATGACCCAACTTTTTCTCGTTAGGATTTTCCACGTTATTTTCTCTCATTAATTTACTTGATTTTACGGTTAGTTTTTCATTACATATTTCGTTCATTGATTATATTAGCTAAAGATCAATTAATTAATGTCAATGAACCATGATCAAAACTAGAAATACCCTCCTTGACTCCCTCCCGGGTCTATTGCCGCATGAATGTATGACTGCATTAGGTCCAACAGTATGAGTATTACATGTTCTTACCCTAAATATAAATATATTTCATGTGTTGGATGCATGATTGAGCTAATGCATGAACAAATGGTTGGAGTATTTCATGTTCGGATGCTACATACGTATTGTTATCAAGATTGAAAGATTAAAAATGAAAGAAATCTAGATTCATTGACTGATTTGAAATATACCCAAATTCGTTCATTTATCCAAATGTTAACCAAATATATATCTATGTATACTACTTTATCAAAGTGTGTATAATTTTTATGTTTTTATATACATGATATGTAATCTTCATAATGTGTGTTTAAGGGTTATAACCCTTTATATCCATGCCGTTATCAATCACAGAGCCTCTTAAAGCTCAACGTTTCAGTTTCCCCTTCCCATTATTCCAAGAACAATAACTTGAAATTATTGGAAAGATGTTGAGATGCTAATCACCCAAAGTGATAATGCATTGTACGAGTATATAAAGAAAAACAAAACCTTTCTTCCACTTTTGATCAAGTTTTCTATTTTCTGTTTATCAGAGTTTTCTTTCCTCCATTCCATAGAAGATTTCTCTTTTCTTAAGAGATTCTCTGCTTGTCAGAGTGAGTTGTTTGGACTTCTGGTCTGTTTTTTCTTTCCTTTGGCTTTCCTTCTTATCTGGTGGTCTGATTTGTCTTCTTTGGTGGTCTAATTCCATGGAGGCTATAGCGATGTTGACGGCGCCGAAGTCCACAAAGGGTGTGTTGGTTATTCTTGGGGTTCTTTGGTTTCACCTACTGGCTGTCGTGGATTCTCACCCATGAAATCCTGGGGGTGGTCTATGGTTTTATGGGTTTTTTCAACCATGGGATCCAGTGGGTTTTGACGGTGGGGATTTTGCTGTAGGGTTGTCGTCGATGGGATCAAACGTGTTGCTGTACATCTGTTATACGTTGAATTCGAGGAATGCAGAGGAGCCGTGGTGTCCTGTTATTTTGGGCATTTTGCCAGTTTATCGTTGGGTTGCTGTTGACGGCGCCGGCGTCGGAGGATTCCTTAACGTCGCCAGTTTCCATCTGGTCAACGTTCTTATCCCATCCTCTGCAGATTTGATTCTCCATCCACTTGTATTGCTTCTGTCCACAAGTGGTCTGTTCATGGGCCCACACGAAAATCGCTTGAAGGGGAATATGGGCTTGGCCAGCACAAAGTTTCATATGGGCCCCTCAGGTTTTGTTGAGGGCCTCTTTGTTTTCATACAGCCCAGGCCCACCATTGTCCTATTCGGAATCCCCTTTGTCTCTTCGTCAACAACCCAATGCTTCAGATACCTTAAGCTTTAGGTTGTTATCATTACTGTTGTCATGACCTAGCTTAGTGATAGTTTTATCTGGAGTTGGTTGGTTTGTACGTTTTTGTGATGCTTTGTGGTTTGTATTTGTTTACCTTAAATTTTAGGTTGTTATCATTACTGTTGTCATGACCTAACTTAGTGATAGTTTTATCTGGAGTTGGTTGGTTTGTACGTTTTTGTGATGCTTTGTGGTTTGTATTTGTTTATGATGTTTGCCCTGTAAGTGCCGTTTGGCTGTTTGTTTGCCAGGATATATATATATATATAAAGAAAAACAAACAGGAAAATAATTCCACATATGAGAATTTTGAGTTTCCCTCTACTTAATTATATATAATTTAGTTTATATGCTTATTTAAATGAATAACCGAGTTACTTGAGGACACGAGTTTAGCTATCTAATACTTCATTCACAGATTGTACAAAATCATTGAGTTTCCTTATTTTGAACTCATGACCTCCAAGTCACAATGGAACAACCTTATCATGCCAAGGTTTGCCTTCATATTTACACACACACACACAGATGTATATATAGCAAATTAGTAATTATATATAATAAAAAAATGGACATAAGATGCTTTCGGGCCCTAATCTTCTCTCATACAAATGGATATCTAAAGATCCTGAAATATGCACAATCGGAAATTAGTCTTCGCAGTTATTGTTCATGCACAAATGAAATGGCGTTCACTGGACCATTCATTTCCTTTTCTTGTCATCAGGTTTGATTAGCTGAACAGGAGCTGCTGGTATCCTAATCCACCACTCTCTAACCCGCCTCAGCCATCTGTCGCTACTTTCTTTTCTCAGTGGCATCTCCCTCGTGAAAGCCTCAAGGAAAATCAACAATATTAGGTATTTCAGAGGTACTAATGCCAACAGCACAGCCATGAGAACCAACAATAGAGCAAGCTTGTCCGTGGCCTGAAGATGTAAACAAAACGATAAAACAACTCCGAAAGAATCAATGTGATACTCAAACGTGACTGTGTTACCTACAGAATAAATAACAACTTGCATCTTCATGAATAATGTGTACCAGGATTTTTGCAGAGCAGAAAAGTAAAACAGTAGCATTGGTCTCCATCATCTTCATTTTCGGTCTCAGTTACATCATGGTGCTAAGTTTTGGAAGCCTATTTGCTCTCCATATGGGTTTCAGTTCATAAAATGAATAGTAACATATATAAAATGAGAAAACCGACTTTTTCAATCCACTGGAGAACAAAATTGTACCTCGCAATTTCATAAAACGCACCTAGAGTGGCAAGATTATATGGGCTCTCGCACAACAAGAATTTCTAGACCACATCACTTTACTGGTCATGGGGAATGTATAAGCCATGCAACAGGTATGAGAGAACATATTTGTCACATAGGACACATATCAATGGTCTATATTGTCAAATTAGGACTCCTATAAACGATATATATCATTGTTACAATCACGAATTATGTTCATATAGCTAATTGTAGATACATTGACGATCCAGAGAATAAAAAGAAAAATCAGTTACGCAAATAAATCAATTTTAGTTCAATGAACCCTTGTCCAACTATTTGGTGTCAACTATAATGAATCACGTTTTGCCATTTTGCTATATTTAAGGCCATAACTTAACTAATACCATACCGTATTACATATCTTTACTATCTCATGTTAAGTTTGCTCTTTTTCTTCCCCTAACATTACCTAAATGTGAATCACATGACTCTTCTTTACTAATGCATTATTGGTATTCACTGCCCTTGACCATATCATCGTAGTTGACTCTTTTATTTCTCTCTAATTAGTGATACTACCACCATCTTAAGAATGAATTCATTTTTAACTTTATCATTTCTTGTCCCACCACACAATGATCTCAACATTCGGACCTCAACATACTCATGGTATGAACATGATATTTCTTAGCGCTAAAATCCATTCCCAAAAAGTATAGCTCGTGTAATACTTACTAAATCTACCTTTACATGTCAATCACATAGTATTCTAAAATCTCTCTTCTAAACCCATCCTCTTTAAGTATGTTAGCAATATCATCTTCAAATTTTCCTTCTCGAAATAATCAAGAACAAAACTGTTCTTTTTTTCTTTTTCTTTTTCTTTTTTTCTTTTTAATCTCTTTAACCCTTGATTTTCACTACCCTCACATGGATTCCTAACTTTTTAAAGTTATATTTTCTACATTCAGTTTAGTTCAACTTATCTTAAACCCTCTTTTTTTTTTTTTGATAAGTAAAAATAATATAAGAAAAGGCGTTCAAAAGGGGAACGCGTCCCAATTACAAGAGTAGGACCAGGACTAAGGCCCCAACGAATCCAAGAAAGTAATTAAATCATCCGAAGAAGAACAAAAACTTCTCTTCACATAATAGAAAAGAGAGCGAAGAATGTAAAGTTTAACCATTGCCGTAGGCGACTCTTTCCCTTCAAACATTCTGCTATTTCTCTCCTTCCAGATGCACCACCATACACAATGAGGTACAATTCTCCAGAAATCGCAGACATCTCTTCTCACCCGACATCCTCTCCAAATATGAATTAATTCCTTAGTAAATTGTGGCATAACCCAACACATGCCAAACAACCCAACAATAAGATTCCAACAATCGGTCACTAGAGGGCAATGCAAAAGGAGGTGATCAACGGACTCTTCAGTATCCTTGCATAGACAACACCGATTAACAATATAATTACCCCTTTTTCTCAAGTTATCAACTGTCAAAATCTTTCCCCTCATAGCAGTCCAAACAAAGAAAGCCACTCTAGTTGGAGCCATAGACCGCCAAATGGTTTTCCATGGAAATTCTCGATTAACAAAATTAGACAAACATAAGAACAAGGATCTAACTTCAAAACGACCGTGGGAAGAAGGAACCCAAATCAAAACATCATTATCTTTACCAACGCCCTCCTGCCGATATAAGAGATCCAGAAAAACACATACCTCGTCCATCTCCCAGTCCTGAAGAGAGCGCCGAAAATGCACATCCCACGTAATCCCACTGCTATCAAGCCGATAACAATCAACTACGTAGGCGTGTTTATCAACAGCAATACTGAATAATCTAGGAAATGTACAAGAAAGTGGCTGATCCCCACACCAAAGATCATCCCAAAACCGAATACGACGACCATTACGGAGTTTAAATCTAATATGGGCAGAAAAAGCATCCCAACCCTTCCGAATAGCTTTCCACATCCCGACTCCTCCCTCGAGGGTAACTGGACGTGTAGACCAACCTCCAGCCTTGTCCCCAAACCGACAAGATACTAGCCTGCGCCATGGACGACGTCTTTCCCTCCCATATCTCCATAACCATTTACCCAAGAGAGCTTGATTGAAAGGAACTAAACGTCTTATTCCAAGTCCACCCAATTTCACAGACTTACAAACATCCTCCCATTTGACAAGATGGTACTTGAATTCATCGCCCTTTCCTCCCCATAGGAAATCCCGTTGAATTTTTTCAATCCTATCTGCAACGGAACAAGGAATTTGGAACATAGAAAGAAAATAAGTGGGAAGGTTCGATAAAGTACTTTTGATAAGAGTAACTTTACCCCCCTTTGACAAGTATTGCTTCTTCCAACCTGCCAATCTCTTCGCATACCTATCAATCACGGAATCCCAACTCCCCACTAACCTTGCAGAAACCCCTAGGGGTAAGCCCAAATAAGGAATAGGGAAAGAACTCACTCTGCATCCAAGGACTGCAGCTGAAGAGGAAATGTCCTGAACATTCCCTACTGGGACAAGCTCACTCTTAGCCACATTGACCTTAAACCCGGAAACTGCCTGAAAGCAAGTCAAGATACACCTCAAGTATCGAAGTTGAGGCACATCAGCATCACATAAAACCAGGGTATCATCAGCAAAGAGTAAATGAGAAATCTCCATCTGATGGTCTAAATCTCTGCCCACCCTGAAACCTTTTATAAAACCAAGGTCTTCTGCCCTGCGCATAAGTTTGCTTAAGCCCTCCATAACAAGAAGAAAAAGGAAAGATGACAAAGGGTCACCTTGTCTTATACCCCGAGAGCAAACAAAGAAACCAGCGGGAGAACCATTCACAAGAACTGAAAACTTGACAAACGAAAGACAAGTCTCAATCCACTTCCTCCATTTACTTCCAAACCCCATTCTTTGTAACAAATAGAGTAGGAAATTCCAATTCACATGATCATATGCTTTCTCAATGTCAAGTTTGCATAAAACTCCAGGAATACCACTCCGCAATCTGGAATCTACACATTCGCTTTGAATTTAGATACTCTTTTCAACATTAATATGTTCGCGGAGAGGTTTCATAATGTTTTCTATTTATTGATGATATTGTGTCAATTGACGATACTATAATAGGGATAAATGTTTTGAGAGGTTTCTTAGTTATTACTGTACTCACTAAGGCAAAAGGAGAAGAATTAATGTTGATTATTGATGCAATCCTACATCTAATTACAACATTTTTCAAACACTTATTTGGGTGCTTGAGGAGATTCGATAATTGGATCTTTTAAGTGTATAATAGCATATATACTTGCTTAATTAATTTGCATAAGGATAATCCAAACTAGGATAGAATAAGTTTAAAATCGAAATATTAGTTAAGTTGGATAGTAAAAGGGAGGCAAACATATACAAATAGTGAACCTAATGAATTAGGGTTTAATTCTTATTCTCTTCAGCAGAGAGAGAGACAGGTGAACGATTGTAAGAGTGAGTAACGATTTCTGTAATTGTTTAACAAAAGTATACAAACCAGAAATGGTAAACAGGCAAGTGATAGATCAATCTTGCTTCCTTGGGTGGTTGAGGATGTAAAATTTTGTGTAGATAATTGCATTTGTTCATTCTTAGTATACAAGTCTCAATGATAAAATAGAAGTTTAATTTAGGAATCATTCATTGTATTAAAAATGATAGTACGAGGATTATGAATTATTCATATGTTTAGAACAATCAGAGCTAGAGTTAGAACAGATATCAAATATAAAAAATTATTCAATATAATAATGTAGATCAAACTGATCAACTAATTTTTTTTTTTTTTTTTTTTTATGACAAGTGAAATTTCATTAAAGGCACTCAAGAGGAGAGAGCTCCCAAGAAAAAAATACAAAAGCCAAAGGCGGCTACCTATAATCTCACACTATCAACAAAATCCCCCAGATTTATAATTTCGCCCATTTACCCAAAAGAATAAGAACTCAGCAAGAGCCACAAAATCCCCCACATTTCGCCCATTTGCCAAAAAGATTAAACTAATCAAGTAATCAACTGAGATTTAAATTGATTTAGAAGCGTAGAATGATGAATTATGGTCTTCAAAGTTGAGAAATTATGAAATGGAGGCCTTGGGAATGGGTCCAAATGCCTGAACATGACATTTGGGACTGAAAATTCATATAGTATGGAATTTAAACGACGATCGGTCCTTTTTAAGGCCAGGGTTGATCCCATGGTGACCAGAAGGCTGGGGAAGAATCCATGCCCTCAGAAATCAGTCCTCTCACAGTGAGAGAGTTGGGTACCAATCTCCACAACCTAGGGGCAGATCCACAACATCACACGACTGACCATGTTGCTATGCAGATGGTCAAACTTTTAGACAATAACTGAAGAGTCAAACAAAATTCAAATTAAGTGAATTATATATAGTTCGAAAGTTCATCAAATTCCTTTTATAGGAATATAAAGCTTATCAGTAATTACAGAAAGGTACATTGGTCAGTTTCTGACAGAATCAATCCTCTATGTAGCTATGATACTATGTAGGTTCTATACTAAAAAATGAGCATCCATAGAGTTGGGTAAGGACACTCAAGGATCAAATAATCATGAAATGAAGGATTAGAGAATTCAAGACATCAAATGGAAGGGTTACGTGTTAAACAATACTGGATTAAGGTGAGAGTAAAGATGACATGAACTGTTTGAACTTGAGCATTGCATGATATTGAGGAACAGGAGGATCTACAAAGAAACGCATATGACAACTAAATGAACCTCTACAATCTTAAGTTTTATTAACAATTTGAATAGTAATATTCATTGATAAGTATAAAGTATAAAGAACAGTGAAAAGACTTGGTAGTTAATGGGTTATTTTGAGAGTGATTCCATAGGCAAGTTGTGTGCAACCCAGCCACAACTATCCTGATGATTGAGAACAATATTCAACTGTATTGTGCGATTCTCTTTTTTTTTTTTTTGTTTTTTTTTTCTCTACTAGTCTCGAAACCTTGATCTAGGGTTTGGGAAAAAAAGACCTAAAGCCACTAGGACAAAGGTGGACCAGTGTGATTGTCATTTTCTATCTCAGGGAAAATGCATGTAATCCAATTTGCCAAGAATGTCTCGGCATTAATAGTAGCATAGGGTAAACTTCCATCAAGTAAGATGTTTAATTTTTTTTATTTTTATAAGTAAACGTCAACTAAGATGTTTAATACATATATATTATGTTTAAAATATTTTTTTCACCACTTTTATTACATTTTTTTAGTTGTTAATGATCTTATCATGTATTTGTTAGCCGAGGCCCACCATCATTCTCCATCACTTAATCTTAAAGCTCTTACTGTTCTCATTTTCCGAAGAGGCCTTTTCTCTGATCTGCATAAGATTGCCATATTCTTTTAAACCTAAGTTTTCTATATGATCAGTCAACTTCTCAAAGTAACTTTTTACCTTTATGCGATTTACTCTTTTTACCAATACATTCAGATTATTACTCATGATGAACTTTTTTATATTATTAAACTTTTCAATTTTTCTTTCCCTTAGATTATTGAGATTGTAGACACTCTTCTACTAATCATTTGTACCTAATTTAGAATAAAGGTCTTCACATGGTCTGGACTTGGTGTCTCTTTCCACCTTTTTAACTGCCTTTTTTGCATATACGTATCTTTCATTTCTACACTTTCCAAATTTTACTACACTTCTTTTCTTCTACGGTGTGCAGATTCTCAGCCCACTTCTTTACTATCTCTGTCAAAGTTTTTCAAATCATGCTTTCCCTTTGTAGCATATGCAAACGTGGTTCTTTGGTACCCACACTATTTTCTTCAAAGGAAATGATTCAAACTCTAATAAAATTATAACTTCAAAGGCAAACACAAAAACCACTTCTAATTCAGAAAAGAAAGTTAAGATTCCCTCAGCAAGCGTGAAGAACAACAGTTTTGATTTGGAATTTTGTTGAGATCAAATTTTGTTTCAGAAAAAACAAAAAGAAAAAAGTGATTTATAATCTTCAATACATCAAAAGAGGAGACACAAATAATAAATGAACCTGGAGGAGCTTAGTTTGAAAGGGAAAAAAGAAGTATAAAAGAGAAAGCAAGTATTTTTGTTTGTAGGGCTCTGCGGGCTACTGGAATCACACAAATCTTTTCTGAATTGTGGATCGTGTATTTCCCTTTGGATTCAGATAGATTCATCCAGATTCCTTACAATATGGTATTAACCTGGTGATTAATATTGAAGAGGAGTTAAATCAAATTGAATCACAAGATTCGGATTGCAAACCGTATTCTAGCAATTGCATTAAGGAGTCTATGTTACATGGGCCCCTCCGAGTGTGGGACTGCCCATATTGAACACATGTCAAGGGTATGTGTACAGGGGTATGCAACAAAATAACATATCTGGTTATTCAAATTTAGTTTAAATAAAATATTTATTATGATCCTTTATTATAAGGGTGAGTGAAGTGACCATCTTACTTAAAACACTATTATATCGTCAAAAATAACAGAACAATTCTGAACGATTTGAATATTTCATTCTGTTCCCATATCCTTGGATTTGGGGATTAGATAAATCCAAGGCATACCCCCAATACCACCCAAAGTACATTTAGTGAGATGGAGACTAATACACTGAGAGACGTATTACAAACCAGCATGTATGTGATTTTTTCCCCGAAATAAAACAGTTCAAGTAAAATTTGGGACAGACTCCTATCGTTGCTTAAAAATTATCTGACTTCACATCAAGAAACCATATTATGGAGAAATGAGCCAAGTTTATTCTAGGCTTTTAGCATCGCTTCAAAGAAACAGACACATATCATCGAGTATTGGTTAGACAAATACCTGAGGAAGTGCAGCAAATAGGAGAGCTCTTAGTTTCAGTAGAGTAATGTTTCCAGCTTGAATTAGACCCTCAACTTGGGTGATGGCTTCCTGTAATGTCAGCAGCTGCTCTACTGCATTTTTGTTGGGGGGAGCTATGATTTTGAATGCTTCCAATGGACCGCCTTTGTTGGCATGCCTACGCCAGAGCATGAGAACAGCGAGAACCAAAAAAATAAATGGTAATATATACCTGATCCATCCCCTGCAAATCATAGTAACCTGCCTCAGTATATTATATATATATATACCTTTTCTGGATCACCTGTAACTAAAATCTTCATTTAGAAACATGAAATATATTAAGAAACAGACATGTCAAAACAACATCCACCAAAGGTAAATCTGAAGGATGTCAATCCAAAATGTATAAAATTCCATGATTCCAAATAGCATGTTGAAATAAACTCTATCAAATAATTATAAGCAGAAAACCAACTCAACTAACTTCCATTAAAAACTTCTAAAATAAAGAAACAGAAATTAAATCTCAATTACAATGCACAAAGAAATATTTGGCCCACAATCCACTCTTCACATGAAATTTAATGGATTTAAAGCACAAGACCCAAAAATATATTATTTGACGTAATTCAAAAGGAGGAAGAAATATTTTGGGGCTTTGTAGGTGAAGCTTGTCATTCACCTTTAAAATCTTTGATGCCACTCGGTCCAAATCAAATGTGATAAAATCATTGAATCATCTTTTATCAACAGAATTTTTTACTTATACTCTCTAAAATTTCTTCACTAATAAGTTTGCTTATCCTTTTATGGACATGCGTTCACAAAAAGCTTTTAGTTGATAATAATGTCAACAGTAAAATTTCATCTTTATCATCTAGCATAGAATCAATCTTGATCTAGCCATAAGTGAGGTGGCAGGTTGGGAACAGTGACTTCCAAATTATGGAAGAACATATGGCTCCAACTACTGCCACATTTTTAAATTAGTTATCACCCATGGATATGGTGTGGCAGATGCTAAAGCCAGTATAGTAGCAGATCCAGAAGCCAGACACAAGCAATGGACGCAAAATGTGACCAACAAACTATCCAAGACTCCAACCCCAAAAACATAAAAACCATAAGCTCTCTGGCTTGAGTAATATATAATTTTTAAAAGGCTCGAACAGAATTACATGCATAATAATACCACTCAGGCAGTAATGCTTGATAAAAATAGAGATCAATCCCTGTTGTAAATAATAAAATAGAAGTGGAGAGAAATGAAACAAGAAGAACACACCAATATTACGTGGTTCAGCCACTAGGGCCTACATCCACAGCATAAAGAGCCCAAAGGGCTACATCACTTCTATAATACTCTCTCAACTTATACACAATACAATGGTGGAGGCTCCTTTATATAGGAAAAGAAATTATGAGAATGGAAAGAGATAGAAAATAGGAAAAAATGAGGATTTTTCTCTACTGATTCCGCTAGTAACACCAAAACTTCAATAATAGGAAATAATATCAATTACTAAAAGATTTTCCTCCACAGATTTCTCCATTAAATCTTCAATACTCCCCCTCAAGTTGGAGCATGAATGCCCAACTTGCCATTGAGATGATGAGTAGCAACAAGTGTGAATAATGAAGAGAGAAGACGAAGAACAATGCTACCGAACACACCGACAGCCCAAACAAGTCAGCAAAAAACTGCCGGAGACACGGTAAAGGTGAGGACAATGCTACAAAACACACCGGCAGCCCAAACAAGTCGATAAAAACTGCCGGAGACATGACAAAGATGAAGATAATGCAACTGAACACACTGGCAGATCAAACAAGTCAATAAAAACTGTCGGAGACACGGCAAAGGCGAAGAACATTACTACCGAACAAACCGACAGCCCAAACAAGTCACAAATAGCACCGAGAAACACTTAGCAACATTTCAAATGCTAAGGGAAATTGGAATACCCCAAAATAGGGGTCCAAACCTAAGAAGAGAAATTAGGCTCTGATACCATGTTGTAAATAATAAAATAGAAGTGAAGAGAGAAATGAAACAAGAAAAACACACCGATATTATGTGGTTCAGCCACTAAGGCCTACATCCATCGCATAAAGAGCCCAAAGGGCTACATCACTTTTATAATACTCTCTCAACTCATACACAATACAATGGTGGAGGCTCCTTTATATAGGAGAAGAAATTATGAGAATGAAAAGTGATAGAAAATAGAAAACAAGGAGGATTTTTCTTCACTGATTCCTCTAGTAACACCCAATCTTCAATAATAGGAAACAACATCAATTACTGAAAGATTTTCCTCCACTGATTCCTCCATTAAATCTTCAATAATCAAAATAGGTGAAGGTCATAAAAAAGGACTAGAGGAATATCTGTTGTCACTTTATGGAATATGAAGGTCCCTAAAATATTCAAGATTTTTTGCTTTTTGACTTGTTGACACGTATTGCCTACTGGACTACTTTAGCAAGGAAAAGTTGCAATGATAGAAGAGGGATGTAAAGTTTGCAGCAACAGTATGTGGATGTGGTTCATTCCTCCTCTGTGAATGACTAGATAATTTGCCAATAATGTTATTTGCTAATCTTATCCAAAAGTTGAGATCCAGAATGTATGACAAGAAATAGAAGCTCACAAATGATGTCATGGGCTCAGGAAAAATAGGAATGGCTTTAATCCTTAATTTATTTGATGTAATCCGATTAAGGTAGCAGCACATGACTGTTCTTATTAGGAATATGTGACAGCAAATAAAAGGGTCGGGGTTCACCATTTAGGATGTAGATTGACTCCAGTCCCACTCCTTCAAAGTCAATATTGATGCTTCTTTTAATAGCAGCTCAATGAGGTAGACTTTTTTAAGTTGTCATAAGCAATAGGAACGGTGTCCTTGAAGAGAGCCTTGTCATATCATAATGCACTGTAGTTATATCATACCTATTGGATCAAGTATCCATTAATGCACGGGTAAAATTAATATTGGAATAATTAGATGAGAGGTGAGGAAGTATAATTAGTGCAGCAACAGGAAACTTTCCTTTACTTCGAGGCAATCAGGAAACTGTCCAAGAAACATCCCGCTTCTTTCAAAACCCGTCCATCCATCCACACAGAGTCACAATTCGCATATCCACCCTTTCTCACCAGAAGGGTCATACAGGACCCACCCAATAAGGATATCTGCACATCTTGAACAAACAAGACACCCGTACATTCTCCAACTTCTACTGTGCCAGCCTAAGCACAACCTTAAGTTTTAACAACTAGGGTCCATCTTAACAAGATATACAATATTCAATAGAATTAAGTCCCCTAAGACAAGATAAGAAGCTTATTAAGTCAAAACCAAAATTTACTAGTACAACCTATTAAGCTATTACTAGTACCTTTTTTTTTTTTTTTCTGAATTTTGGAAATTTTATTGATACAAATAAAAATTAAAGTACAAGATAAGAAGTGATCCACTTGCAGGAGATCATAGAATCTCCAGAAGAAAGCAACTAGCCATTACTAGTTCTTTTTATACTACCTTTAATTCATAGTTCTTTTTATGTTTCCTCAATCATCTATTAGAGCACTACATTTCAACTATTATCAAAGAAAAGGGGCAAAAAAAAAATCATAAAATTTTCAAGCTACACATATGAATAAAATAGTTTACTTTATAAGATTCAGCATCCTCATTTCATAGGTAAATTTCATTTCACACGTTAATGCATTAATTATGTAGTTTCTTTCAAAAGATACCAATTTGGAACAGTAAAACCTTATGTTGAACAAACTTGGGTTGAAGTATTTTTGCCACTGAGCAGAACACAAAATCCAGTCAAAAGTTACCTATAAGTCATATAGCTGACCAACACCAGAAATACCGTTGATTTGGAAGGCTCTTCCCATGAGGCCAAAAGTTGAAGACAATGTAATGATTCAATAAGTGGGAAAAGCAACTCCTGCAAAGAAAAAAAGTGCAAAATTGTAACTCGGGGACTATCGAAAAAATCATTAAGTAGTTAAAAATCAGTAATCAAAATCACATAGGAATTCTAAGGACATGTCGTAGCCAAAAATATAGTATTGAAATCTTGGCTAGTGTGTGCCTCCATGTCTGTGTATCGCTGTGCTACAGAAACTAAATGGCAATACACTATTAGCCATCCAAATCTAGACTACAAATTTGTAAAAATTATGTGAAGAGCTATCTCTAAATGGATGACGCAAATGTAAGAAGAATATCACATATGTTACACAATGACAAAATTAGTAGCTTAATTTCTCACCTTTCATCCTCATGGAACATGTTGCAATGTTTCACACAAATTTATTCAATGTTCAGGTATTGGGAATTGCGCATTAGCCAGTCTACGTATCACCTTTGCGGCGTATTGGGAAGGGAAGAGTGGAGATAAAAAGTGGCTGCTCTCAAACTCGAACTTTCAACTTCAAGCTTTTACCATTGCACCATGAACTATCAATTATTTAAAGGATGCCATCAACCCAAGAGTTGATTGAACGAAAATGCCATCTACCTAAAGGAGCATGACAAAAAAATAAATAAAAAAGTCCACACACTTATCCCTCTACCATTGAAACAAATATGGTTTGGCAATTTTTAACCAGCATCTACTCTAAAAGCTTAAGTTGTTAGAGAGGGTGTAACTTAAATATTTAAATCCTTCAACAGCAATGATATAAGTTAAAAATATGAAAAACATTTTTATCAAACCCTTCATAAATACAGTTGAATTTATAGACTAATGATGAAATAAGACCTTTTACCATTGCTTGATGCAATGGTAAAAGCTTGGACTGACAAGAATGAGGATGCAGGTCACTGCCACATACAGCACCCTTTTGCAATTTTTGAATGTGAGAGCAGCCACTTTTTGCAAAATTATATTAAATGTTAGGTCTTTCTCTAGTCTTAACCTTCAATAGACAGGACCAACACTGTAAAAAAAATTCATGAATTTCACATTAAAATTTATTTTGCCATCAAAACACAATTTAATTGGAGACATTATAATTAACCTTCATTACAGCTAGATTTGTATCAATACCCTCCACTTTCACTTGGTCCACAGTTGCTTGTGCAGCTTCAGCTCTCCCTGTCTCACATTTCGACTGTTTTACGGCCACTTCCAAGGGATTTGTTTCACCAACACAGACATCTGCAGCTGGAACAATTGCTTCTCCATCCACAATTCCCTCTTTATGTAAAATAAGTCCAAGCCTACAAAGTGTCAAAAGTGAAACTGGAAACATCAACCCCTGTTTTCCATTGGCCCCAACTGAATTGTCTCTAGAGGTCCTGGCATTCAGAAGTGCCAAGCGACTTGATAGAGTTCCCAAGATCGTGTCTCCCCCAGGAAGACTTTCAGCCAAGTTAAAACATAGTAACGTTCTGTAGTGGGATGAGAAGATGTGAAAGGCTTCTCTCACTGCACGACATCGGAAAATACCTAAAATTGCCCTTGCAAGTGCTTCAGATTGCTGAGTACCTTTGAGATTATACTTCCTAATGAACTTGTGAGCACGCAGAACCTCAAGACAGATGTCCAACCAATAGTCCCGTCGTGAATTGCCTTTAAATTCAGGAAACTCAAAATAAACAGGCTCTGCTCTGCACAAAATTGAAGTCAGAAGTAATCTCAAGAATTATACCAATATGCAAATATCAAACAAATAATGGAAAAAGATGCATACACAGATATTGATTTGTACATCACGGCTTTGTCAAAGAGGCGAGCACCCAATGGTCCAGTTAGTTCAGGCTTTATGACTTGCTTCATGTCCATTGCCAAATCATATCTGACAGCTTTTTCATATAGACCAACTCCCAGAGACTCAAAGTACAGAGCATAATTGGTCAGTATCAGCCGCCCTGCCAAAAGAAAAATGAAAAGATACATTGTCCAGATAGGTATTCACAAAAAAACACAGAAAAAGTCTAGAAACCAAGTTTAGGACCCAAAAAACCATCAGTATATAGGTCATGTAAACTCAAGAGAATAAATCTGTAGAAAAAATTTACACAATTACATTATGAAAATATGTATACGATAGAATCATCAAACTATAACAAACTCATTTATTTAAGATGCCTAAGCCAACTCATCCCGATGCAGGACCAAAATACTCTGGAACCAAGTTGACATAGAATAGAAGAAAGAAGGGGATGAGATGAGGCTAGAAGAAAGAGATGAGAGACAAACAAAGGGGGTGTGAGAAGACAGATTGAAAAGATAGGCCGGATAGACTGAAGGAGAATAAGAGAGAAGAGAATTATGACAATCAATAATTTTCAATATTCAAAAACTGAATTGTTTTGATTACATAATACCCTTTATATAGAAAATTTATTAGGCAAGCCCTAAGAAACCTAAAAAATAAAGTACTATAATAGCACTAAAATCAAACATTACCAAAACAAGAACTAATAAATAAATAAAAATTAACCCTTATTATCTATCATTGCCCCTTCTCCAAAAGTTGAGGTGAAACACGTCTAACACATGTATGCCAGTCATATCTCATGTATTCCAATCATATATCGTTCTCTATCACATCCTATCTGACTGACTTAGTTGAGGCAGGCTATCACAAAGCATCCATGAAAGAAAATCTGATCAGCAAATCATAGTTATGCTCCAAGTCACCCAGGATCAATACAAACCACAGGAGATAATTGCTCCATCTTGAACAACATTATTTGACACGTCCATCTCACTCGGTATATTCCTAGGCATATCAAATGACTGACCTTGGTATCACATAGGAAGAAGTCTAGTGATATAATTCATACTTGAACAGTCGAAGTAAATATATCCAAAAACAAAATCAATCTTGCAAAAGTTTGAAAAACATCCAAATACAAATAACGACTCACCTGGCCATGCAGAAATGCCAATATGTTGCAGAACTGGTTGAGTGGGAACTGTGCCATCAACATCTAAAATTATCTCTCCCTCATCAAGCTTAAGGTTGGATAACAATTGAGGCCCCAATGCATTTTTTGCACCTTTGATCACCCTGTGTAAGAGTAGGCACCCACTGAATGAGTCATTAAGAATTTCTTGCATTATCATCCTTTTTTTTTTTTTTTTTGAATGTTGCAATATCATCCTTTGCAATTATCTATCTCTACTTTTTTCCTCTGATGAGATTTTGCTATTAGTACGCTTAATTTATAAGATAATTTTTTTCTGAAGAAATGAAAGGAAATAAATCATCCCTGCCACGTCAAAGTATGAAGATTGTGTCAATAGTTAATACATAGAAAACCTGAAATATATAGCTTTTGTTCAATCTAAAATTGCAGTACCCAGGCACTAATGATCACTGTACAAGTGCGTAAAGCATACAGAAACTCCAAACCAAATATGTACCTTCCAAAAACATCTTCTACAAGTGCATTCATTATCCAAAGAATGATTGATGAGTTTTTGCCATGCATGAAAACATTGAAAGTGCATCATGCCAAATTGTTTAAATTTGTAAGATAGATTGTTTCCGAAGAAATGAAAGGAAATAAATCATCCCTGCCATCCAATCAAGTCAAATGGCTCAAATGTGTGTTTGAACATATCTTCATATGACCAACACGCCAGTGACCTAGCGGTACCAGACCCCTACTTCCCAAAGGGAGGTCAGGGGTTCAAGCCTCAGTGGAGGCATATGTGTGTGAGTACCAACTAAGGGAAAAAAAAAAAAAAAACATATCTTCATGTGCTACCAATCAAAAGAGTTCTAAAAAGTGCATCATGCAAAATTTAAATGGTGTTAGGTGGCAAATGTTAGAGGAAATAAATAAATATATATATATATAGAGCCAAATTATTCATTTAAATAGCCGCCACATTGAAATAAAAGTGAGTGGCATGGCAGTTCCACTAAAAAGGGAAAAACGATGTATTTAGATTTTACACAATTGCTACAGCCCAAGGATCTGGAGCATACTTTTCAAGGTTTCGGAGATACTTGTCATATATAAGAAAATGAAGTCTATGGCCTGAAGAACTTGTCAGTATATCAAAAAGATTGTGGACAGTGATTATATCTGCCACAAGAGCGCAGGCAGGAGCTATTCTTGCAAAAGCCTCTGGTCCAACAGTTTTCTTGTCATCAACCTGAAGGAGAAAATGAAATGAATGAGAAATACACAATCCCCGAATATATTAGTTGTAACAAAAAATTTCAAAGAATAAGACAGAATGATATCACCACAGTTGATTAAGACCACATACTGTGAAATAAACTAAACTGAAAATGAAAACACAACCTGAACAGCCATATTTGTAGGATTAGAATAAAATAACGACCACCTATCCTCGTCCTCTGCTTCCTGGTTATGGAAAGAAGCAGTTTCCTGTCAGCAGAGAAAAGTTAAGGCAGCATTGTCAAGCCAAAAAGGCAGAAAATCTTTCAGTACTAAATTCCTTAAAGAACAATCAGGGAAAAGACACCACTAGCAAATATGAAACATTAACATGTCTTTACGAACACTCGTAAGAAATAGTGATAGATGATGTCTTACTTTGTCTAGTAGTTCACTCTCCACGCCAGGGGCCTCCCATGCAAGCATCATGTCATAAGTCAATTGACGGAACTCCTTATCACTAAAATAATCTGGACGTCCAGTTACCAGATGCAGTGCTTGGTATGAACAAAACTCTAAAAAGTTCCTCGCATAAGTCGAAGGTTGTTTAACGGTGTCAGGTAACTCGGTGTCAAAACGATGCTGTAATTCTTCAGTAGGGATCAGAAGGATCCTGCAATGCCAAGAAAAAATGCTTTATCCATTAAAGCTAACAAGAGAAAACATTTAGTTGTGGAGTTTCCTTATAATATAACTGAGGGGTTAACTAGATCAGAGCACCTAGAAGTTTCTTTGAAGCATGTTCAGAAGGGAAATTTTAATAGCCGAATGTCAGGTATAAGTTTTTGGGAAATACAACAGACCCTTTATCTAGTTTTATTTTTTAAAGCTCCAATCTAACAGCTAACTACAAGGAACTGGATGATAGTAAGAACAACTAAAGAATTCTAGATATTCCGGTGAGACGACAAATAAAAATGCATCCTAAATCAAACAATTAATCTGGTTAATACCTATAAATATATATAAATACATACATTATATTCCTATGCTCCATGTCAACCAGTAAGCTTTTCCCAAGCTTAAAGTTCATAATGTCATCAGATCCATGAAAATATAAATCTGGAATATTTCATCCTAAAGCCTAGAGAAGTTTCTTATCAAACAACAAAAAATAAAAGTGTGTTACCTTCTTGCATAATATGCTAATTCATGACCAAAATCACAAGGTATCACAGCTGTTGTGCTACAACATGTCAATACCACGTATTGATACATCAACATTATGCACTGATGAATCACAATATGGTGGTGCAAGTTAATACCTTTTTGTAAACTAGTATTGCAGCTGAGGTTGCACTTGTAACTAAAGGAGAGTATAGAGAAGGGCATGTGGGGGGGGGGAGAGAGAGTAATGTTGACCCCAAGGTTTCAACCCATGGTTCGTTGGATGGTTTTGATGATTACAGCCTACTAATGTGAACGAATTGACAATCTACTTTCGTGTTGTTATTCACAGATGTATCATATTACTCAAGTATTCAAAGACTCATGTGGACCTTGGATCATGATGACAGTGGAACATAAAAGTTCAAGACATGGGTAGTATGGGTGGCGTGTGCTACTTGATTGTAAAGTGGAAAATGTATCATATGCACTGAAGGCTCAAGTTTAGGACACTAAAATTGGTTTAGGGCCAAAATGATTCATGCATGCATATCATACATGGACCCTAGGAAGACTTGACCCTTGGACTTGGATGAAATATATCTCAAGGGAAAAATGGTCATTTGACTAGGAGATAGTCACTATGTGCTTATACAAGCTCATATCTAGAGATGCAAGTAACGAAGACATCAAGGATATGTTTGTATGGCCTCAGGACTAGAGTTGCAAAATCCTATAGGGACAGGCGTCTATGAAAATAAACAACCGTCTATGCCTTAGTGTTTTGGCCAAGTACCAAGAGTTAGCATTTTCATAGAAGTTAGGACGTCTATGACAGAAGTCTATGAGCGAATAGCTTTTGATGACGAACAAGAAGGAAAGCAAGGGGTGAGAAAATAGAAGAAGAGATGAGAGTAGAAGAAGGGGATGAGGAGTCGGACGAAGGAGGTGAGAATAGAGTGAATAGATAGGCAAGATAGACGAAATGGGTGAAAAAGGCAAGAAAATAAATGGGAGAAAAAAAAACACAAAGAGAGAACTTGGAGGAAGTAATAATCAATAATCTCCAAAAACTACCAAAGTCTATTACATAAAGGCCTTTTATATGCAAACCTAATAAAATAAAATAAAATCCCAATAATTACTAAAAATAATCACTCTACACTAAAAGTAAAAATACTAAAATATCCCTAATAAAATATCCCTGCGGAACACCTCACGATCTCCATCAGCTTTATCTTTATACCTTTTCTGAAAATGTATTGACAGACGTCTATGGCTCTGTGATTTCAGGGTTGTCCAAGAGTCGGATAATCTCAGGACCAGAAGAAAAACACCTATATAGGGTGCTTATTTGGGCTTAGAGTCTCACAGATGTCTATGCTTTATAGACAAACATCTGTTGTAAGTCGGGGATTTCAAAATGAAATATCAAAACACACACCAATGTTGTCAAACGATCAAATTTTTCACCCTTGCTATAGATAGAGCACTCCGACCCTTTTAGGGAGAATCCAAGCATTGAGAAACATTTGAAATATTTTGAAAAGCTAAGCTCACTCATTCTTGTTCATAGAAGGAGAGTACCAAGAAGATCTTTACAACCGCATTCATATTCTTAGAGAGATCATTGCTAGTGTGTGATACACATTTGTATATCTTTCACAACTAACCACAATCATCTAGAGTTGAGCTTTCATCAATTGCTACATCTACTGCTCTAAAAAGAGAGTTTTGATTGTAAACGTTCAACCTTGAAGAGGATACAACTTGTGCTCAAACTTATATATCTTTGAGATTGCTGTACAAGGGTTGTGAACCCAGAAGTCTAGGTGAGAGGTGCTCACTTAGCAAAGAAGAAACAAGCTTGTAAAGCTTTGTAGGGATTTGCTCTTGATCCGTGAAGGAGAGCTTGGTAGTGAAGGTTTGGAGATCTCGAGAGAGGTGCTCTTGTGTCATCAACATAGGAACGAGGAGCCGGACCACGGAAAGTTGCTTGGCCTAGTGTTTTCATTCTTCTATCCCATACCTATTTACATTTGGTTGTTGTTTATATTATTGCTATATTTGATTGCACACCAAGTGTTTGGGAAGAAGGTCAAGAACTACAATAGTTTGCCTAAAGACTCTATTCCCCCCCCCCCCCCCCCCCCCCCCCTCCCTCTTTTCTTTTCTTTTTGATAAGTAAAAGTGTATATAAAAGCGTTCAAAAGTGGAACACATCCCGATAGCAATTCACCCCCACTCTTGAGTCATTGTTTAGGGAACAAGTAATAATATAATTACAAACTCCCAAGAAAAAAAAAAGGCAAGAACTTGAGCAGTCATCTACATGAGCAGACCTATGAGAGAAAATGAAACCAAGATAACATGTCAAGCTCAAACGAAATGAAGAAGAAAAAATGGGAGGAGAAAAAAAAAATACTATCCTCATTAAGAATCAGCATAATGTTTGGCAAATTAAATAATCAAAACCTCACTAAGTTGTAATTTTTGTTTTAATTTGGGTCTTGTCCAAGCGGAGCTTCAAAGCTCAAAATTCATCGTTGTGCGTCAATTAATTGATCCACTCACACAACTAGCATAAAGGCAAAAGAGAGTTGAAAGGTCACATAAAATGTTTTGAAAACTCTATTTTTACTTTTTTTAAGATCATGGTAAATTTGCTTGAAACATGAGAGTGAATCTTTTTTCCAAGGAGGAGGGTTTGATGCAGATAATAAATAGTGCTTTGAAAATGTCTTGTTATTTATTAAATATGTCAAAGCTCACTATATTCCCAAAAAAAAAAAAAAAAAAAGGCTCAAAATTCATCGTTGTTTCTATGAAAAGTATTGGAAGTACAATGTGATTACTTAGAGGAAGTGGTAAAAGTGGTATTCACTCAGTGTGGATATTCTAAAAGTCATTCTAAGCAAAATTAAGGGTTATTAATGGTTATATTATAAAAGGGAATAACTGCCTCTTTCTTTGTTGTAATAAGTATTGTTAATACAAATTCAACACATTTTCAGTTCTTCAACTATTATTCCAAATTTTTCCCATATTTTCCTCTAGAAAACTAGGCTCCACCGGTGATTGGAGTAATCCAGTCTTACTTACAATTGTAAGTGGACTATTTTCACTCTCTTTTTGCTTCAGACTTTTACGTAGGGATCATTTATACAAGCCAACTCTTACTGTAGGACCTTTCACTTAAGAACAAAGCTCCTCCTACTCTTTCAATTGAATGCATCCCAAGTGTTGAAAAATTGTATCACAGAAGCAAAATATTATAGAAACAATTGGATCCTTCCCCACAAGTTTGTATGTATTATACTAGGAATAGATTATATATATAATTACAAATATACCTTTTCTTGCAAAATATGATGAAGATGAAAGCGTTAAAGCACCTTGCGGTTTTCATTACTATGTTCCTTTTGATGAAGCACCAAAATAGAGATTAGTGGGTCTCTCCATCATTAAAACATCAGATTAAGGCTATGAAATCTTCAACCTTTTTCACTCTCTAATGTCACCTCATGCACGGCCCCATACTCCCCTTGTGTCTATATAGGCACTCCTAGTTGGGTTAGGAGTGGCATCTTTAGATAATCTTGACTCCAATGGAGCCAAATAGTTGTCTAATTAACTCTAACCCTCACTATTTGGTTGATTAATTATTTCAAACATCACCATATGGTAAATAATTGCACCCCAACACTAGGATAATTACAATGAGTCCCTAAGTAACTACAAATATGCCACTCCCCATGTATTAACCATGGAGATCCATAAAAAATTTGCTGAATATCCTATGTCTAACTTCTAATCAGTTTGGTCACTTGACTTATCACGTTTCACACTTTAATCTTTTCTAAAAAGATAATTAATCAACATAGAATGGTTGTTATGCATAAATATAGTAAAAATTATTATATCAAACTCTTATGAGATCCAGATTTCTATGATGTTACCAAATTAACCAAGGTGAATCAAGTTAGATGGATTCCATCTTGAGAAAATAAAAATGAACCAAGTGTTAATTGCCCAAATACGGAAGTGTTGATCTCGGAAAATCTGGGAAAGTCACGCTTATGAAAAGCACATTGTCGAGCCCCCTACATATTTTCTTTCTCTCTTTCAGATCCCTCATCGGTGGGCGGAAGGATCAAGAGGCTTCAGCAGAATTTCCTACAGGGTGGTAGGGGAGAGGAGTTCAAGCATCATCTTCGCTGGGGAGCAGGTGTGCAGGCCTATTCAGATAGGTGGATTGGGAGTTAGGAGGTTGTTGCCCTCAATAGAGCTCTCCTTGGCAAATGGTTGTGGAGATTTAGTGGTGAGTGCCATAGATTGTGGATGAGAATTATTTTGTGCCGCTTTGGGAAGGAAAGAGGCCGGTCGTGCTCCCAAGTAGTTAGTCCTGCAGGAGGTATTGGCGTTTGAAAATGCATTCGGAATGGTTGGAATGAATTTTCTTAACACATCAGATTCAGAGTTCGAAACAGCAGGAGTATCCGGTTTTTTTTTTTTTTTCGGATAAGTAGCGGGAGTATCCGTTTTTGGGAGGACCTTTGGTGTGGAGACCGTTCTTTGGCTTGTTCTTTTCCCAGGCTCTTCAGGACTGCTGCCAATAGACACACCTTTTTTTTTCATAGTTGATACTCACACACACATGCCTCCATGGAGACTTGAACCCTTGACCTCCCTTTGGGAGGTAAGGGTCTGATACCGCTAGGCCACTGGCCCGTTGGTGCCAATAGACACACCTTGGTTGCCGACTACTATCATCTTGATAATGGGAGGATTACTTGGGATGTGCAATTTCAACGACATTTTCAGGACTGGGAATTGGATGATTTTTCTGCCTTTCTAGAGCTTTTATATAGGCAGAAGCTGAATGGTGGAGGGTCGAATTCTCTCATTTGGGTGCCCTCCTCCTAAGGAAGATTTGATGTCCGTTCTCTGTATTGTTGTCTATCCGGCTTTTCAAGGGCTAACTTCCCCTGGAAGGTGGTTTGGCGTTCAAAGGCCCCCCTTAAAGTGGCCTTCTTTTGTATGGACAACAATTTGGGGCAAGATCTTGACATTTGATAACCTAAGATTGAGAAAAAGGTTACTGTTAATTGGTGCTACATGTGTAAAAGGGATGGGGAATCAGTTGATCACCCTCATTTGCATTGTCCCCGCAATTCACGACTGTTGTTGTCATTTTTTTGGCTTGTTTGGTGTTCAGTGGGTTATGGTTAGGTCTTCAAGAGGATTGATTAATGCTTGGAAAGGATGCCATGTGGGGCCCCACTCCAATGATTTTTGGCGGGTGGCACCCTTTTGTGTTTGGTGGTGCATTTGGAAGGACCAGAATAGGAGATCCTTTGATGGAGAGGAATCTTCTTTTGGGGTATTAAAGTTTTTTATTGTTAGCTCTCTTTTATGCTAGGTTTTGGGGACAATTTGTAAATCTATAGAGGAGAATAAGAGATGGTTAATTTTTTGGGCTCCTTGGGTTCTTAGGTCCTTTTTGGCTTTGGTTGTTGTGTAACTTTCGAGATGCGTTCCCCTTTTGAACGCTTTCTAATACATACTTATTAATCAAAAAACAAAACTTGAAACAAGAGTCCATTATTCTCAGAGATTAAGAGTTATCTTCTTTACTAATGTAAGTAAATACCATTTATAACAGTTCTGTATGATATAAACTTATCAAATCTAGTTTAATGCATTTCAAATGCAGTCACATTGATCTCGAGTTTACAACTCAAATGACTAAGATAAATCATCCTATCTCATAGAAATAAATGTGTTACATACTTATTTATCAAAAAACAAAACTTGAAACAAGAGTCCATTATTCTCAGAGATTAAGAGTTATTTTCTTTACTAATGTAAGTAAATACCATTTATAACAGTTCTGTATGATATAAACTTATCAAATCTAGTTTAATGCATTTCATATGCAGTCACATTGATATCGAGTTTACAACTCAAACAACTAAGATAAATCATCCTATCTCATAGAAATAAATGTGTTACAATCTTTTAGACGTGATGTGTAAGATTTGAGACTGTTGAATTATAGTTTAGTTTTGACCTCAAGTGGGGTGCATAGGTATATTCCATTTATTATCATATTTTATACGACCATTTGATATTAATCAAAAAATACATTATAGCAAAAATAACACAATCAACCAAGCACACAAAAAAGGATTTTTCATATGGAAAACCTATAACAGAAGAATCCAGGCCCTAGTCCAGAACATGCAAATCCACTATAAAGAAAAAAGTAAAACTGATCTCACGAGTCCAAATGATAACCCTAAAGTCACATGCATTGTTGTAACTCCGATTTACAGCATTCCACACTCCAACTCCATCTCTCTCATTCTCATTCCCATTTTCATTCTCATAAGTTTCAACTAATTTACTAGTTACATCTATTTATAGAGTTCCAATCCAAGTCCATTTTTGGACAAAAAACATAATTCCTTATTACCCCAATAATAAGCTAAGGAGAACTTTTCAAAAAATAACTCTATAACGAAAAGATAAACAAAATAACAATTTGTGATAAATGTCAGCCAACAAATCCGAATGGTCTAGAACTAAAGGATGATGTGTGGGATCCATCAAAACAACAGGTGACAATTTCACCAACGGTACTTATCAAAAAAAAAAAAAATTTCACCAAGGGTACACATCCACATTTTCCAATACGTTACTGTAAAATGCACCATCCATCATCCTGCCAATAGTAATGCAATATACAGAAATATCTATAATGACAGATATGATAATGTATGTCATGGAACACCACCGGGCCATTAGCCCATGGTATGATCTCTCCTTCCCAAAGGAGAGGTTGAGATTTCTAGCCCTGCTAGGGGTAATGTTGTGGGGGGTGTGCGCATTTGCAGATGCACCGTTGATCATTTGTACTTTCCTACTTGTTTGTACACATCAAACCCTAGTTATGTAAGAAGACAATGTCATGAACCCAGTTTGGTGACAAAAACTAACACCCAGATCAAGATTATATATTAATTTTACTTTATAACTAAAGAATCCAGCTAATCACATAGATACATACATACATATGTGTGTGTGAGATAGAAATTGTAGTTACTTGGAACAGCGAAATACGACGGAATTAGCGAAAGATGAGAGGAACGTTAGGGGCTTTGGGGAATTTTTAGCAAATTCATCATCGTCGCGCTTTTTGTTGTTGAAGAAGTTGATTGATTTCATGAAGAAGTTGTTGCTGGACTTGTGTTGGCCTCCCATCAAATTCTCCAATATTCCGCTTTCGTTCTCCATTTTTTTTCCGATGAATGTCTGTCTTTATCACAAGTCCTCCTCCTTCAGCATTCACGCGAGCAAGATTTGAATCCAATTTCGCATCCCCGCCAAATGCGAAACACAATATCTAGCTATATATATGTGTGTGAATGCGCAAAAACAAAAAGAGACGAAGCACGTGAATGAAAACGAAACTACTGTAATTCCCTGAAAAAGATAGAAAAGAAAGAAAACTGTGGATGGAAGGAACGAAGTGGGGAGAGATGGAACAAGTTGTCGTTGCTTGATAACAGGGACTCCTGGCCTATTACTAAGATGCATCGTTCAAGTTAGGAGTGCTATCTCAAAGTCTTTTAATATTTATAATATATATATATATATATAATTAATTTAATTAATCTTTTTTATCACATAATTGATCTTATTATGATTTCTTTTTTATTTTATTTTTTAAAAACAAAATTTCTTATTTTTCCTGATATGTAAGGTTTCATGGCAACCAAGAGCGGAGTTAGGATTTTAATTCAGAAGGGGCAAAGTTTTTTTAAAATAAAAAAAAAAAATCAACTAACATTGATATAACAAGCAAATTGAAAAAAAGAAAAAATGAAAGAAAATTGAGATATGTCTAAAAGGAAAGAAAATTGAGATATGATTAAAAAAAAAAAAAATTGACTTTTTCTTAAAGAAATTTAAAGAACAAAAGAAAGAAAAAATTAAAGATAATTTTAGAAATTAAACATTTAGGGAGGACTCGTGAGACGTGAGAATTTACTTGATTTAGGTTTAGGGTATGATATACATATACATATATATATATATATATAACATAATAACAATTCGGTCCGGGCCAGTCCGGTCCAGTAGGACCCTAAACCAGGATCGGACCAAAAAATTACGGTTCTATAATTTTTGGCCTAGGATCGGACCAAACCGCTATACAATTAGCCCAAACCGTCCAATTCAATCCAATCCGGTCCGATTTTTCAGTTTACCGGATTTTTTTAACACCCCTATTGTTGAGTTAATTAATAAAGGCCCATGGTTATGTGATTACTTAAATGATCATTTTTGTATAATTATAAATATATATTTAATAAGTGTTATGGAATGATATATATATATATATATATATATATATATATTGATATATATAGGTATATACGATTTAATTAACTAATGATTAATTATGGAAGGTATATATATATATATAATATAATATAATACATGTTTATATTATTTAAAGATAATTATTATTTATTTTATTTGTAGTCATAGTAAGAATAGGATTTGAATTTTAATGTGTATAAATATACACATAAGGCTTTAGGATTAAAAGTTTATGCGTTATTAAAATAAGAGAGACAGAGTGAGAAGAATAAGAGAAGGCTGACAAAGAGAAGGCCGAATTGGAGAAAAAGGATGCCGAAATTGGAAGAGACAATCAAAACTTGAAGCGTCGATTTCATTTTGAAACCTTCAAGCGAGTTTTCTCTAACTTTTCTCTTAGAATTCATAAGGATTTCACCTTGAGTATCAAAAGCTTTAGGTAAAATTTATTTGATTAAATCATATTTAGATCGGATTATTTAAAAGTACGAATTATTATATATTTTAAATTATACAAAAATGATCATTTAAATAATCACATAACCATGGGCCTTTATTAATTAACCCAACAATGCTTCATACAAGCCCAAGATCACATCATTTGGTCCAACTTCGCTTAAGCCCAAATCCAATTAATTTAAATAAATCAAATAATTAAATAAATAATTAAATTAAAATAACTAATTACATGATGCACATAAACAAAATAAGAAATTACAACCAAGTCACACCATACCAATAAAATCAATACACCAATAATTCAATCAATAATCAAACACGCGCACAACAATCATCATATCAATTCAACAAATATAATCAAAAAATAAAATATAATTAAAATAAGACAATTAATTTAAGCACTCAATTAAATAAAATAAATCATTTAAAAATAAAATAAAATCAATTAATTCCAATTAAATTAAACAAATCATTTAAAAATAAAATAAAAGTAATTAATCTCAATTAATAAATCCTTTAAATTATCGGGGTATTACATTCTTCCCCCCGATAATTTAAAAGTATGAATTATTATATATTTTTAATTTTGGATTATAAGATGTTAATTGTATATATAGATGTTGTATATATATTTTAAAATCAATTTATAGGTTGATCTATGACCCCAAGAAGGTTAATTAGGGTTTTTAGAATTTTTGGTATTTTTCTAAAATTTTCTGGTATTTTTATATATTTTTCTAGAATTTATTATATTTATTTCCCTTTTATTTGTTTGGAAGTATATATATACATATATATAAGGGGTGAATAATCCAGTGTGGTGTGAATATAGTATATAGATGTGTATGTAGATCTAGGCCGCTGGTGAATTGAGATGATGATTGAAAACGATCTGGTGTGATGTGGCGCATGTTATCACGGTGCGCATGGAATCTGGGCCTCTGATGGGTCTTGATTAATGGGCAGTTGATCTGGTGTGGATGTATACATATGAGCTCATGTGAAATAATCTGGTGTGGGTGTATACATGTGAGTTTAGGTGAGATAATTAGGTGTGGGTGCATACATGTGAGCTCAAGTAAGCTAATCTGGTGTGGGTTCATTCATATGAGCTCAATGCTATAATCTGGTGTGGGCGAACTCACAGAAGCTGAAAGACTCCAGCCAATCAAGATGCGCCAGCACACAGAGAGGCTTGGATCCAGCGCCTGGGCGCGCATGGGAAATCCTTGTTGGCCTGTTTCGACACTTGAAATTGAAACAGTCATAACTTAGTCATCTTAAATCGAAATTAGGTCATTCTTGAGCTCAAATTTAAGGATTTTTCGTCCTCTTTCCAATGTTACTAATTTTATTATCAGATTCCCATCCTACTAAGAGATGTTTATATTTTAGTAGACGATGTCGGAAAATTATTTAAACCCGGATGGAATATTTATGGGAAACCATTTATGACGATATTTAGTAGCATTTAATTTGCATAAATATAATTAAATTAATATATTGGTGATGGAAGGAGTATATATATTTACATATATATATATATTTTATATATATGTATATCTGGTTTAATTAATTTATGAGTTGTATGGATGGACGTTTATATATATATATATATATATAATTATTGATATATATGTATATATGGTTTTAAATAATCAAGGATTATTAAGGAATGTGTTATACACACATATATATTAATTTAAGATGATTAATATTATTTTTCTTATTTTGGTATATCTTGATATGCTCGTTTTTAAATTAATGATATGCGTATAATATGCATGGAATGCCTATGTATGATTTGTTTTGTTGTTAAATTAATTTTAAAGTTTGGTACATGATTGAATTGTAGGTATGGATGAGTTGCGAAAGGTTTAAATATATTGCCTATGTATTTGTATGAATAAAATACATACATAGGAAGCATGGATGAGTTGCTATTTTAAAAGTATAAATATATATTTTTGTGAAGGCATGGTTGAACTGCCAATGTATAAATAAATATACTTGTGGAGGCAAAGTTGAATTGCCAATGTAAAAATAAATATAATTAAGAAGGCATGGTTGAGTTGCCAATATATAAATAAATATATTTATAATGACATGATTGAATTGCTAATGCATAATTAAATTGCTATGTGTTAGATGATTAAAATTTCATCTATGGTTATTGTATGTGTAGGTTGGATTATGATTAAATATTCTTAAATTATAATAATTTAGGTTAGTGTATTATTTTTTATATATTAATAAAATAATATTGGTGGAGACATGGACGATTATCAAAGCCTAGAAATTGGATGTGTGATTTACATAATTAAATCATTATTGGGTTTTGAATTAAATATAATATTCTTTAATTATATTGTTTAAATGTTTAATTAACTGTCTAGGACGGAATTGAGGTTAAGGAAATTTTCTTTAAAAAAAATGGTGGATTGGTTTAGGAATGATTATTATTTAATCATTGGTAATGGTTTTGGAATAATGAACCTAGTAATAGATGTGACTGTTGTATTTATATATATGCGTATCATTGTTTATTAAAGATAAAAAAATTATTAGGTTTAGTTTTGGTTAGAGATGATTTCTTTATTGATTTTCCGAGGTCTGGTATAGAGAACTTGCTCGCGAGTTTAACTTACGATTTATTTTTCAGGTTATTAGAAGGTCCAAGTCTCAAGGTTGAGGATCTGCAGTTGAAGGACTAATCCATTCTTTCTATTTTATTTCAAAGCAGGATATTATTACTTCAGTATTTATTAATGAATTTCTGGATAGTGAATTTTGGTTAAGGGGTCCTTGAGTTATGGGATTCCGGAGTTGTAACTATTGGAGAGTCATTAATGAAAATTATTATTTATTAGTTTTCTTTAGCGTATTATTTACTCTTTATTTTATTTTGTAATCTATGCTTGTTTGAAATACTTTAATTGTTTTGATATTCTTTAATTTTGTGCACGGATTTGATCAACCTGTGTTTCAAAATTAGGGGGTATCACATTCTTAGAGGTTCTCCGTCTATAACTCTCGATAGCGACTTTGTAACTCCATTATTTAAGGTCAGTTTCGATCTCTTGTTGTTTCTAGAAAATTCTTTTTTCTTTTTCTCTTTTATATTCGGGGATTCCCCTAGCCATCGTCATGTCTAGCAATTTAGACTCCATTCGTGCCTGATATGAGATCCCCGGCGACGTGTTTATTAGACATTGCCTTAGGAATGTGAATGTAAGAACTGGTGAAGGTTGATGCGTGCTCAATGTTACCACTCGCAATAGTACGAATCTTTATAGGATAAAACTATATAGAGGGTGTCGATCCCACAGGGAGATGAGTGTTCTTTGTTTTGTTTCTAACCAATCCAATTCTTTTTGGTTTAAAGGTAACTGATTTGATTTGATTGGTTAGTTGTCACGAATATAAAGTAAAATTAAACTAAAATTAAATTAAAGAGATCAGAGGGAGAAGGTCTTTGGGCTTGACTTTGCCACAAACCTTTGTACTGTGGTCAACTGTTCAACCTTGGGATTTCAACGATTTATATATTCAATGAATTAAACTCAATAACATTCGTTTAATTCAGTTTTAAAGAAAGATGTTTTATAAATTTCAATTAACTATAACCTATCTGCGGTTAGCATGGACTATCCACCTACCTACTTCTAACTACTTTAACTAATTTTGTAGTATAATCCATCTTTTCTAAGTATAGACTATGAAAACATTCATTTATAAAAAGTATTGGAACATTATT